GAATAAAATAAAACATAGGAGTGGTTAACGCGAAAAAAATAAAGGTCCGATACTTTTTGAACAGACCTTGTATTTCGAGTATTTTAATTGCATTTTTTAAAGGAAAGTTTATTTTTAACAAATTCTTTTCTCTCGGATTTGCCAGAATATTTGTTAAATGTAAAACTTCGCTAAAAAGAAAATTTATTCGGATTACATTACAAATGGTTGGAGTTTAATTGGAAACAATTGCTTCCACCATTGTAAGATCGGGAATTTACAACATATTTCATACAACTGAAAGTTTTAATTTATATTGCCACAATATTTTCTTAACTGTGAAAGAATGGGTAGCTGAACTTCAGTGGCGTGCCGTCATTAGAAGCGGTGGATGCGCCGCTTCCCTTGTATTTTCTAAAAAATAAATACATATTATTTTTAATTATATGAAAATAATCGCACAATATTTTATTATAACCGCATTATGTATCTTATTACAAATTTCTATACTACACTTGAAAAAAAAATCAGATTGCTATTGTATATTCGAATATTAGTGGAGGAGTGGAAGCGATGTATTGTCAGCATCTAAAAAGCCAGATTCGTGCATGAGCTTTACAGAGCACCAACCTCACCCGGTTTAACCGGGTGAGGTTGGTGCTCGGGTGGCTGCTACACGTATAATGCATCCAATTCTATCCAGGACCGGTTCCGGGCCGTTAGCCACCCTCCTGCTAGATATTTGGCCGCCCTCGTCCGATTACGCGAATCTCGAGTAGATTTATAACTTAACCCAACCGATAAGAATTTACCTGTATGTTTTTATGATATTTTTCTGTATAGTTGACGGGAGTTTAAAAAAATCCGTTAAAATATTTGATATATTTATTTCGCTCTCCGATTTTATATTACTCACGGATTTCAATGTTAAACCAGTGATATTACGATTTCGTATGTCCCATCTTTAAGGGGATGTAGAAAAAAACGTGTACAATTCTTCTATAATGTTAAAAAAGTAACTGTTACTTTGGTAGCATAATTTACAACTAAATTTAAGAAGTAGTTAAATAATTAAGCCTGCGCTAGAAGGGTCTGTGTCAGATGAAGGGGATGGAAGGAAACATGTGGCTACCTCCTTGGGAGTGAACACATGGATCTGATACCTTTCAGCTGTTTTGATTTTTACATTACTAAAAAGTTTTAACACTATCTTTATCATAATTTTATTGTTTTACTTTTCTTTTAGAAATTTTATTATTTACTCAGCCCATAGTGTTCGAGCATATCCTAACTCTATGTGAATTGATTACAGCAGCTCGTGTCTGTGAGGACGAATAAAAGGCTCGAGATAAACTGGTGCAATGACCCGTCAAAATCACTCTATTTAGAAATAGAGGCACAAAAATCACGAAATTCGCCGCAAAATCCGATTTTTTAGCATTAAATTGAGTCGCTATGAAATAATAAAATTCTCTTGTCGTTGAGAGAGGATCTATTGTTGACTCGTGCGATTATTTATTGCCAGTGTTTTCTCGAGTTTTGCTTCATTTGCAGTGATTTGTAAGTTCTGACTAGGATTTTTCTAAATTTAAATACTTTTTAATTTTGATATGCAAAATATCACAATTACGGCGGTGGTTTTTAATAAGAAATTTTATCGGTTTTATCGGTTTCCTTCAGAGGAATCGGATTTTTTCATTGTTAATTTTCCAATGGAATTGTTAAAGCAAAATGAAAATTAATAAATAGCCTACTTTAAATCTTTTATTCTCCGCTATAGTTTATATATTTTTATATATTACATACGTATATACATTAAAATCCCGTCTGAATCTTAATTAATTAGAATAATCAGAGTTCACTCCTCGTTTCGTTTCCTCTATTTTCACAGTCAACAGAATAGTACAATTACTTAACTAATAAACTAACTTCTCTACCGAACATTCGACAGAGCCTCGTCTCTCGTCAATTATCTGGAGCGGCGATACCCCGAAGTTCCAAAATGGGAGGATGGAGACAAGGTCAAGTGAGACAGGATTGGACAGAAAGAAGTCCGAAGAAATGGTCGAAGAATTCGTCGAGCGTAAAAGGCCTTGGTGGAAAAGGTTTCTTTTCTTCTGGAAAACATAATATTTTTTTCTGCCGAGGCCTTTTTGAACGGATTTCGACTTTTCACCGAATTGACAAAGCCACCCGGAAGTGACATTTCACCCGACTACGACTTAATCAACTGGACTTGACTTTCCATCCCAATTTACGAACGGGTACTTCGACCCCATTCGAGATTCGTTCTTCCACTTCGGTTAAAGTGCATAGAACAATGATAGTGATTTCTACCGTGTCAAAATGACAACGAAACATTAAGCAGTATTCTCGTGTTTAATTAAAAACTGTGTTTAAACGACTATAACTGGTCAAGGCAAGTTATAATAGGGCTATACAAATTGTATTTCAACCGATGTTCTACTGGTAAAAATTTTTACTACAAAATAACGGATATTGGTCTCTAGAATGCACTAAACGTTGAACATTTCCACGTTGAACTTTAACTAAAATCACACATTGCGGTCCATATATGTCCAAAACAGAATTATAATTACTTCGGCAATTAAAATTGTAGAGTACATTGAATGTAATGAGTGTGGTTTATAAAATATACCGGTACAATACTTGTGTTTTCTATTCATAATTATAAAAGTGAAAATAAAATAGATTTATGAACAGACATATTGCTTTAAAATGAATTATTCTATAAAAAAATAATATTGTAAGATTATGAAATGGAATTATGAATAAAATAAAACATAGGAGGACTTAAAATTTATGATCTGTGACAGTTAATAACATATATAGAATTATTTAGGTTTAATGTTCGTTTCTGAACCACTCATTATAATGTACTCAACGGTATTTTCTACATCATATTTCTGTTTCCATTCCTTAAAATCACTAAATGAATTAAATGTCTGATTATAATTACATGTAGTAATAACACGTAGCTTTCTGAAGTGTAACAATACTTCTTCTTATTTATGAAATTCATCTGAATACAAACTACATTTAAATAACTTTATAACTTCACCATTCCTGTTATAGTCCTCCCTTTTATGCTTCTTTTTCACATGTCTGCTTAAACTTTGCTTATGCTTGTACTTTAAATTGCATATACTGCATTCCATTTTCAACGAAACACTGAAACAAAAACAAACCCAGTTGCCGCCTTCGCTGTAGCAGCAGGATTTAGAACTAATGTTTACCAGAGAGCTAGACTCTTGTGCATTCGAGTGATGCGCCGTCTCTCAGATCTCCTTCATCCAGAATCCGCACGCAACCGTTCGCGTGACCTCCAACAACAACACCACTGACATTATTAAACAAAAACAGCAATGTGGTGTCTTCTATCCTGATGTCAAGTGGTGCGGAAGCCTAAGAGGCGCTTGGCGCATTATCACAATTATAGCACTGAGCGATGAAAGGAGATGAACTGACGATAAACACAGGTGTATTTTAAAACACTTTATCAAGTCATCTTTGTAAAAGTTTTTTTTCTGTCGACTTTTCTAGCTTTTATAACCTAGTTGCAAAGGTGTTGTAAATTATCAACACCTTTAAAATACATAGTATTTGTTCTTATTCTTCTGGAAAAATTCACGTAAATTTTGTAAATTTTCCGGTATTTATTTTGTTTATTTTTTTGCTTTAACTATGGATCGAACGATTACATTTATTTTTTAGACATTATTGTATGATACTTATTCATTATAGAATGGTATGTATATTTTAAAATTAAATACTGTATAAAATTTATATATAGAGGATAAAAAATAATTTTTAGAAGAGTTGGCAACACTAACTTATATTTAAGTGTAGCCGCAGTATAGGCCGCGTTTCTTTATGCAGCGCTCGAGAAGCGCTTTACAGCGAACCTTCTGAAACCCGTTTTTAAATGCAGCGCTGCAATGTAGCGAACCGTTTCTAAACGTTTGCTGCAAGAGGTCGCTGCAGCGAAGATAAAGCAGCTTTTACGTCCGCTACACGTGTAAAGCAAAATGGACGCTTGTGTGTATAATACGAAATTATGCTGTAAAAATAAAAAAGTCGAAGTGACTGTTGATAAAAATATTATGGAAAGATTAAGAAGGATTAAATTTTATGAAATGACTCTGAAAGTTATCTAAAGAATAAGAAAATACTATATTTTAAATATAATTATATATCTTTTATCTCTTTACTTTGTTCACATTTATGGAAAGATAAATGCTCGATTCTTTATATCTCTTTATTTAAATATTGTAGTTCTTTAACTAAAGCACTATTTTCGGCTGTAACTGGAATTAAAGGATATATTATGACGTCCGTGTTTCGCTCGAGCGGAAAGCGTTTCTAAACTATGATGCAGCGACGTGTAGCGATAGCTGCTCGTGACGTCATATACGCTGCACTCTCGCTGCATAAAGAAACGCAGCCATAGTAACACGTGAGTTAAACGAGTATATATATATTTTATTGATTAATATATAAAAAAAGTATATTTAATATATTTTAAAATTTATTTCTTATTTGTACATTAATAACTGATTGTTTTATACAGAAAATGGCACAGAGAGCAGCATATAAGGTATTCGTTAGTAATTTACCATGGACCATTGGGAGACGTAAGTTATATTTATTAATGCTATTCTCATCAAACGAAATCTTTCTAATAAGAATAGTGGTAATATTACCATAACAACTGTTTTTAATAATATTTAGGTGGTCTATCTTATAAGGCTTTTCTTTGGTTTATCACAGCTATCATCATCTATCAGGCTCATTAAGGAATTACTTTTATTATTTTGGAGTCATGGTTGCAAAATAATTAGCGTTTGTTTTATTTATGCTAATATATGGACATGACATGTTATAAGTGAGAACTGCAGATAAAAACTGGTGTGAGTTCCAGTGTTTAGTGCAAAATAAAGAAATGGTTCACAGTAATGGGACAAGAATGAGTATGACTATGGATACGTTCGTAAAGTCAAACAAGTTAAACGAGAATGATGTCATTGTTATTCTTATTTTGTTAGACTTTTTTACCAATTCATTTATAACTTAAATGGCTGTTTCTAAAATTGAAGATATGAATGTTGCTAGTGCAGCCTTATCCAAAACATTTTTCTTAGATTGCTTCGGGTGGACAGTTATTTCTATCATTTCACCTTTAATTCACAATTTATACACTCGAGTGGATTCAGAAACTTTTATACTAGCTTTATGACGGCTTTTTCTTTTTTGCTAGACTTATTGCACCATCAGTCAGAAAGAGGACAAGGTTTAGAAAATCATATCTTTATTTCCCTGAGTATGAATTTTGGAAATAAGTCCCTTTTCAACTCCTGATATAACTGTTCAGGAAATAATGCATACAAGTTAGCATAAAAACTTTGCAATGTTACAAAATATGTAAAATATTTTTAAACTTACATGTTTATGAGATATACAGGAAATTGTGATGATGGATACAATATGGATGATGATTATTGATTAACAGGTATTTGTTAAGACAATAATTAAGATGGAAATGATTTATAAAACCAAAAATGTTAAACATAGACGTAAAAAAGGTTTTGAACTTACAGCAAATACAATGGTTCGATACATAATGCTGTAAGGCAAACAATATACATAATAAAGTACACAGTTAAAAGTATAAAATTTAAAACTGTGACATTGTATACTGTAAAACTATTAAAATAAAATAAAATGATGAAGTAAATAAGTGCACTATTAAAATAATAAGAATAAAAAAATTTTTACAGTAGAATCGTAAACTATGGAACAATTCACAGAAATAACAAGAAAATAGCTGCCATTTACCTCATTATTTAAACACTCCCCCTTCCCCCTCTTCCCCACTTGATCAAATATGGATACCAAGTTTCATGTAATTTTTTACCAATATTATTATTCATCATTTTATTTTTAATTGAACACAAGACTAGACAAGAAGCATATTACAGGATTCAGAAATGTTGATATCATCAGGCGCCATTTTCTTAACAAAGTAAACTAACTCTTTCCTTTGTGAACTTTGTTAGAGTTTCGTTCAAAACATCATCACCGCAGAGCATGTGAACTGAGCAAGACTACTACTTTTTGACCAATTTGTTACTTGTGCATTTACTTGTTCAACTTTACGAACATACCCTATGTGAACTGCTGTGGAAGTTCATGCATGTTAAAAATTGCACAAATTTAGCATATAATTAATAAATTTTTTTTAAATTAATGTATTTTGTTTCACCACTGGATTGTTATTACTGTAAACCTATGAAATCACATGTGGCTACTTCATTTATGGTAAGTCTTTACTGTATTATAAATAGAAATATTCAATTGGATTATAAACAAAGGTAAAATATAGGTAAATAGTTGTGTGTATATATATATGATTATTTAAAATCATCCAAAAACAATAAAACAATATATTATAAATTGTTGTTAAATAATTAATTTATCATAGATTTGATATATAATAAATTATTTTAAATTAGAATATTATCTTCAGGATTTTCCATATTTGTATCATATATTGAAGTATTTTATACAAAATTAAGCATTTAGTAAGAGAATTGAAATTATGTTAACTTTGCAATTAAAATAATAATAATAATAATAGTAATTAAATTTATGATAAAAAATATATTTATTGTAATTATTTTGTTCAGTTTTATCAGTTTTATAATGTAATTTAATAGTTTATAATTTGTTTTGTATACTAGTACTTTCTATATATTAACAGGACTTATTATACTGGAAAATTATGGATGCAGATAATTAGTCTTACAGTTCAAAATAATGTTCTTTATTTAGTTCACCTGTTCCCCATTCTCTGCTCTTTCCAATTTTCCAGAAATTCGGCTATATATTATTAAATAATGTTTAATTATTATGCCTTTTTGTCCTTTTTTTAACTATTTATAATTTGTTAATATATAGAAAGTACTAGTATACAAAACAAAAAGGCATAATAATTAGTAATTTAATAGTTTTTATAAATAATGAAAATCAAAACTATTTCATGTGATGCAACTTTTATATTTTTTGTGATTTGAATAAATTGGTTTTATATTGTTATTGTAACAGAATTTTTAGCTTATATCAGTAGTCTCAGAAAAAAAATATACTATTCATTCTGTTTTTTACTATTTTTGTTTCTTTTTATTATTTATAGGAGAATTGAAAGAATATTTCTCTCAATTTGGCTATGTAAATTCATCCCATGTTGTTTTTGTAAGTGTAAATTTTTTTTCCTCTTAATATATTGATTATTGGCTAGTTTTATCATAATCAAACATCACAAAGCATTTGTATTAATAATAAACCAAACAATCCCATCTATTTTTATCATTCATTTGTTTCTATTAAACATAAAATTATGCTTATTTTAATTTCCTTATTATTTGATTTTTAATTATTCTTTCTTTATATTTTGAAATAAAAAGTGCAATTCATAAATGATTTTTTTTCTATACATACATATATAATATGCGAAGATATTATTTTAAGAATTAATTTTATTTACTTAATAAGATTAATCTATTAATTCTATTAAATTTAATTTTAACTATATAGCAACATAAAAAATATATTTTATAAGAATATATTAATACTAGCTATTACCCACAACTTCGCCTGCATGGATTTTGCAAGTAAACACCATTTATATTCAGTATTTCAACAACCATGGTAATTATTATATAACACCTACTGCTGAGAATAATGAGAATTGCTGAGAATCAAACAAACTATTTTCAATTTGATCAATTTTCTGGAACGTTTACAATCGTTCTATAATTGAATCAATAAGCAATAACAAATTCGAATTTAAAACAGTTTGAACATGGGTTTGAATCCCATTGCAGGCTGATTCTTTTCTTTTCTTCCAGACTATTCTAAAATTGTTTAATAAATATTAAATTATTATAATTATTTTTATAAAACTCATTCCTACTCTCAAAATTAAGGTTTTTGCCATTTCATAATAATTAAAAATATATAAAGTTTTTAAATAAAATTTCTTAACAGATTGCACCACATACACAGTTTTAAATGTTGCTGGATTTTTTAAGTTACTATATCTTAATAAAGTGTATGTTTGGAGCAACAGCACTTTTTTTATTTATTTTAAAATGTCCAAACACGATAAAATACAGTAGAGCATCGATTATCCGACCCCCGATTAACCATCACATCGGTTAACTGACCATTCTAGTCGGCAAATTCAAATGTCTGCTAGTGATGTGGCGCTACAATATTTGGCTATGTCTTGGCTACTTTAATTAATAGTACTTTTACATGTTTTAGCTGGCAACACTGGCTTGACCATGAAAGGGAGCCAATATTTAAACGAGGCTTAATTTTCTAATTTTTAACAATACAATAGTGACGATTATTATTTTAAAAAAATTTTTGTTAGTGAAAATTCAATGCGAAGTAGGTTAATAGCGATATACTAATTACATGAGATATACTAATATACTATACTAATAATGTATTTTTTTCATATTTTTTGGTTATCCGTTTTTCAGTTATCCGACCAACCCCAGTCCCCAATTGAGTCGGATAATCGACGCTCTACTGTATAAGTAAATAACTTGGAAAAAATTTGGCTTTTGCCATTTGGTGGTGTGACCATTGAATTTTTTTAAAGTCAGCATAATGCAGACCCTATTAATACAAAGTGCCAATTTTTAAGTCCTTCAGTTTTGTATTAACAGAGTGTATTTGATCGTATTACATTTAAGAAAAATGCTTAATGTAATTTAGTCACCATTATTTAAGTAAATATTTTACCAGAGGATTGTTCATCCCATATGATGATCTCAGCATGAGCATCATCAACTGGTAACAGTTTTTGGGTGCGTTCATTAATAGCAGTCGCTCTGCAACAGGAGTGTGCTGCTGTTTGTAGGCATTTAGGAATGATCGTGAAAGAAAGATGGTGGCACCCGCACTATTGATAGTATCGTGATGGAGGAATCTATAATTCTAAAATGAGCTTTCAGAGGCAAAAGAAGGGTCCCAATTATAAAATTTAACCATTAAATGGATTATTGTTGAAAGAGATTCAAAGTAGCCACGAAAACAATTAGAATGCTCACGCAGAGGTAAAAATAACGCATCTTTTATTACATTTCATGTTGTACGAGGATTTTACCCAATTCCCAAACCTTGTTAGAGTGAACCCATGCTATAAAAGCATTGTGTTATATGGGGATGTTCTGAATTCTCGAACCATGTTAGAGTGAATCCGTGCTATAGAAGTGCCGTGTTATATGGGGGTTACCTGTAATAGTATTGTACATTAATTAATAAAAAATAAAAACATAAAATTATTAACGTATTTAAACTATATATATAGTTTAAACTATATATATAGTTTAAATACGTTAGTTAAAATTATAATAATAATTTTATTTTTTATTAATTAATGTACAGTACTATTACAGGTAACCCCCATATAACACGGCACTTCTATAGCACGGATTCACTGTAACACGGTTTGAGAATTGGGAATATTTTTTTTTTTCTTATTTAAATTACTTTACTACTACTTTATACTAACTATATTTAGAAAATAAGGGATTTATATGTAGCATTTTTATTTGACTTTTTTCATTATGATTATTGAAAGGAATAAAAGAAAACATTTTTATATTTAGGATTCAGAAACTGGAATGTCTAAAGGCTTTGGATTTATAGTATTTGGAAATAAAGAAGCTTTTGTAAATGCTACAAAACAAACTGTTCATCAGTTAGAACATTCAACAGTAAGTATTTAGAATATAATTAATTATCATTGAAAATTTGTTTGTTAGAAAGAAATTTCTTTTACATAACCTTTAAAACATTATAAACTTTGATAACATATATTGTAAAGAAATATTGAAAATACAGTAGACACCCTGTAACGCGGTAGATATGTTCCTCGTTATACAAATTTCGCGTTGTAGGAATCCTTAAATACATGAGCCAATCGCAGCCTGACACGTGTGAAGTTTAGGGACTATGGCTGTTTGAAAGGTTTTCTTCCATAAAATTAATCGATTCTAGGCTAATTTGACTTAACATTTCCAAAATACGTATAATTTTTTGGGAATAATCCATATAAACTATGCTATAAACAAAAAATTGTAGGATTACTTACCAAGTGTGCACCGTTCGACGTCGCCATTGCTTAATCTTGTGTTTATCATGGAGCAGCGCACCAAACGGCGGCTGTGATTTCTGATGTTATTTTTCTGAGAAAAATTTGTTGAACTTTGGAGACATCATTAATAGAAATAATTTTTATGGCCGTTGAATAAGAAATGTTTCTTTCACAAGAAATGTATAAAATTACAGTGCTGTATTAGACTTACGGTAGCTAATTTACATACTGTACAGATGATAGTAAACTCAATTTACCCGCCTAAACTCTTCATAACGTGGCACTGGACGGCGGAAAGTAGTTCGGCTGCTCGTCCGCGATGACGTTTTACTGTGTTTTACACATCCCTTTTAGCGTCTTTATACGAATACTGTCGCAATTTTTCGCCGCATTATAGGAATCTACGTTATAGGAACCCACGTTATAGGGGGTCTACTGTATATTTAAATAATTTGGCAAATTTTAGAAAGAATAGTTTGATTTTCTGCATATATTTTAAAAAAATCATGAAATCATGAATTATATTTTTGGAAATACATAATTCAATTTTGTTACAAATTAAGAATTTCAAAATATGAAGTATATGCATTAAATTTTTCTAAAGACAATAAAACATAGATTTATTTACATTCTTTCATGAATTCAAATTTCAAAATTACAATTCTTTTCTTTCATTGGGAAGAAAGTTTATTAGTTTATTAAAATCACACAGTTTTTATTAACTATATAAAACATATTACAAATAAAACAACAAAAATATTAAAAATGCAACAGATACAGTAGACTCTTGTTTTGTTGTTTTTAACAGTACTTTGGGGAAAAATAACTAATGCATGAAAAAGATTGACATTGATGTTTTTATTGTTTATCTGGTATGGAACACGTATTTTTCGGTGATAAGCTTATATGATGGCTTTCAGTACTAGTAAATGATATGGAGCATGCTCATGAACATTTGTTTATTTTACATTTTAAAAAATTTTTAAGAATACTGAAATTTGTTCTGTTTTCTATGTTATACCTTTCTCCTGACAGATTTTCTTCTACTTTATCTATAATTTTTAAATTTTCAACAAGGGTTTTCTCACTTGTCCAGACATGATCTCTTCTAGCTCAAGACAAAATGCTAATTTTTACCAATGTTGCCAGGCTTTAAGAAAAAAAAGTACAGTATTTTGTAAAGCAGTAAGCAAAAAGTACTCGAAAATTACAATAAAAACTGGTTAGCTGTAGTCAAAGGTTTAACTGTTAAATTTGACATGCTTTTATTTGTAGTAAATGAAAATCAGTGTTTCAGTTTAGCCCTCTATTGTGAGTAAAATGATTGATGCGGGATAACATTTTTCTTTCAGTTAAAATACAGAATGAACAATGTGGGAAAAGATTGATATGGGAACAATAGATCAAAAATCTACTGTATTCTGATACTATTCTGTTCTTCTTTTCTAGCTGTTATATATAATAGAGGGGAAAATATAGCAATTGGTCAAAAAATGGCTCACTCAAATTTTTTTTTACATTTTTGGACTCAGAATCTTGAAATGTTGATGTGGTGACCAGGACAGCCTAATTGACACTAGTTGTGAGGTTTATATATCCTTTAAAGCCTTGTTATCATCAAAATTAATTGATTGCACTCTGAAATTTCTGACACCAAGTATGTTATGTTTACTGTTCATTTTGAATAGTAAACATAGACTGTGTTATTGCCTTCCACAAAAACACTCAAAAACTCATTTTCAGCATTTTGTGGAGGGTAATAACATGGTCTTGTATGTGAGTCTAAGAGTAAGAGAATGGAGTAGGAGATGACAAGATTCAGTTGGAAGAAGTTGTTTAATACAAAAAGCATACTTAAACACTTATTAGACAGCACAAAAGTTCATATGGTGCATTACACATCTAAGTAGGACATAGTATTTGCAGTTACATTCATTATTATCCTGGGGAGAGAGGGTTTACAAATTTCTGTATCTTATGAATCCTGACAAATATTTCCCATGTTGGAAAGCACAGGGAAATAGTTCTTGATGAGGTAGACCTTAGAATTTGAATGACATATCCCATGTTGGATAGCACCCAAGCAAAAATGCAGATGAAGCACACAAGTATAAATCTCAGTGACTGGATGGAATTGTGCACAAACACTAATCCTAATGTCTGAAAGAATGGGTGATGACTGACTAAAATCAGGTGTCCTTCATTGTATTCAAAGGCAAATTTCCCAGAGGTGACAAAGTCAAGAGAAAGGTGTCTTAAAGTTTCACTATTAACCCTGAGAAAGCATTTGACACTGTCAGGTCAGAAAGTTGACATATACTGGCTTCTGATAATTATCTGATAGATAATATAAAAAAAACTGATAATTATCATGAATGAGGCTTCAGAATAAATAAGAGTCAGATTGCTTTTCTGATTATCTCTTGATCAAGAGATCAAGACAGTGAAATCAATCAGAGTGTAAAGAGAGTTAGTTTTTTTCTGGCTTCAACTGTGTTAACCCAGTAGAAAAAAAGAACTCATTGAAGAAAGGAATATGGAGTCACTAGACATGTCAAAACAAACATTCTTAAAAGCTATCTTGTGAAATAGGAAAAGAATTTCTAGTGCAGGTACACCACCAAATTTCTGGTACCCTTGATTCCAGATCCTTGCCAGATTAAGCATTTTGTTGGACTAACTGATTAATAATTCATCAACACTCCTCTAACCCGCTAATTATACATCTTCTATATGTCTAAAATGTACTATGAACTTCTAGAAACTTAAGTAAATATTAAATGTAAATTAAATAAACAAACAAAATACAGGTATTTGTACACTAGTACTCTTTGCTTTTTTATATCATAAACAGTTCATGAACCAATTCCATAGATTTACACAGCTTATGTATGAAAACACAACAGTCAATTTTTTTCAACAGTTTAATTTATCATGGATCAGTATGGGCTGGTGTTTACATTTGACACCACCACTGACTCTCATTTCTCTTAGAAGCCATAAATAGGGTTTAATTTAAGCCAAATAAACCTAAGAATATCATAAAATTGCAGTATCATCACCAAGTGCAGAGTAAATAATGTAAATAAGTGCACCTTACACACACTACTATCTATGTTCACCGAGTAAACTAGTCTGGTGGCTGCAGGAATTTCAAATTTCCTCCTGAAATTTTGTCCAGATTAAAGGAGATGCTAGATCATCGGTTGTCAGTTGGGTACCTATACTTAAAACCAACATTCATTGAAGATATTTCCAGTTCAAGTCTAATTTAAGTTTCTGGAAAGAAAGAAAGAAATTCAAACAGAAAAGAAATTTGACCTACATTTTATTTATTTTGGAGTGCAAAAAGTACTCAAACTTGATCATTGTTTGAATTTCAGTCTCAATTGCCATTTTCTTAATTTTAATAAATAGCAAAATTTGATGTAAACATGTTTTTCCAAATATACCATCACAACAAAAAAATTGCCAAAATCACTTGACCAACACACAAAATAATACCATAAGTGGATTTGATTTGATACTCTCGTCATATTGCCATTTTACATTACACTGCATGTGGACAATTTAGACTAGTGCTGCTTGCAATACAAATCCCACTCACTATTCCTCTTTTATTTTCTAAACTTGGTTTTGGAGACTTTTGAGTAAGTATTTTTTTTTAATTTTTGAGTACTTTATATACCGTATTTACTCGGATATAAGACGAGATTTTTATTCATTTTTCACTGCTTCAAAAACCTAGGTCGTCCTATATACGCGAACAAAGGATTCTTTGCATTTTTGCAATAATTTCTGTGAACCATGTATACTTTATGCTGTCATTATAGGTCTACAGTCTATTTGTCATAAGTTGGCACCTACTGTAAACAAATTAAGACACACATCCCTTTATTTATTGGTTTAATCCTACATCCATCAATTATAAATCGCGTTGCATCTCATTCGTTCGCAGAAAATAGTTTCTCATTATTTATAAAAATTAGTGTTGTAACGAATAGTATATTCAGCCTGAGGCCGAATACCGAATATTCGGCCAAGAGCATGGCCGAATAGCCGAATATTCGGCCAAGAGCATGGCCAAATAGCCGAATATTCGGCCAAACTATTCGGCTTGATTAACGCACGTAATTGGCGCGCAAACCGCATTATGGCAAGGACCCTGCTCTCTATTGGCCCGCTGTCACTACGCTTCGCCAATCGCGTTAATTCTTGGCAGTTGTAATGGACAGACAAGAATGTCATGGAAGTATGTGATAAATGATGATATCAAATGTGGATAACAGTGAAATGACCTACACATGTAAATAACGGAAAAAGAACAGAGAAGGACCGCGAAGTGAAAATGTGAAAATAAATATCAATCAATCAACATTTATTTGCTATGGCTTTCACCTTTGCAAAGGGGTTACAAAATCGTGTAGCGTTAATAATACAAAGATTGTTATACATGGTTTCAAAAAGAACAACAACACAAACAATAAATGATAATAACAATAAAGCTTAATTAATAATGTTATGTTAGCATATTTAATAAATAACAGAAAAATTTATAAACTTTAAATAACATATCAGAACTTAAATTGTCGTCATATAAGCAAAACATATCAAAATCGGTTGTCAATAAAGTATCTCTTAAATGCTCGGTAATTTCGCAAGATACAAATAAATGGTTTTTAATACTTTCACAAAGTCTATTACATAATGGACAGTTAGAATGGGCAGATATATTCATTCTGCGCCTATTTAATACAATAGTATAGTCGTTGAGACGTAACTGAATTATTAAAGATTTAATATTATATTTTAAATTTGATAATAAATAATATCGAGGTGTCCATGGAGATACAAAGGAAGTCTCAAGAAACCTACACTTTTGCTCAATATAATGAATGTCTTGGGCCCAATATTTATCCCTTAATGACTGAGACATTTCAGCCAGAAAAAGTTTTTTATCAGAAATTTGAGCAAAAATAAATATGAAATTGAGTTGATAACATAATCGAACAAGTCGAGGCAGCTCATTGGCGCGAAATTCGCTTCCGTCAATGCCAAACAATTGTTGTCATAGACTTCAGAAAGCTAAATGCTTGTAATGAAAGTCACTTAGCGTGCACGGACGAAAGCCTGGGGCCGTTTGGGCTATCAAGCTGTCTCGAATCTGTGAAATCATAACTGTGACTTATATCGACGTCCTATCTGTCTCTTTTCTTCGTTATCACCAGGCTGAGTTACGTAATTGTAAAATGTGAACTCTACAACGGAAAAGTGACGAATCGAATGTCGTGAGCGCGTATTATGATGTATGCACAGGCATACATGGATTAGAGTGATAGAGGAAAGAGAAAGGAAAGAGCAAAGACGAGCGCTTAAAAAGAAGGATAGGCAGGATCAGACCCTCAGATGTGCGAGGATTCTCCAACGTAGGACGTGTACGTGTGCTGATCTTTTTAATTATAAATTGTGAATACATGTGACTAATATTATTTTCTTTTTTATTTTGTGCATGTTACAAGTTATAAATAAATATAAACAAACAACACTAACTCGATAACATTAAATCTAAATATCAAAACGATTAATTTACTGTGTTTTTGTTATTTATTACTCCTGTTTTAGGTATTCGGTATTCGGCCGAAAAGTGAAAAATAGGCCAAATACCGAATAGTAACCGAATATTCGTTACATCACTAATAAAAATATTAATGAAATACAGGCCACTTAGCAATGATTATAAATGTAGTTATTTTATATTAGTTAAATTGTTATTTTTAATAAATATTAGCACATTCTGAATCATTAAAAATAAACTTTTTCCAATCATGCAATAATGTTTTGGTTTCTTTTCAATTCATCACGTATTAAGACAAACATGGTTGTTTGCCTTAATAGGTGCACTTGATAATATTTTGTGATTAAGTAAATAAAATTAGAATTGTATTAATAAATCTAATTTTGTTTATTTTGATCTCTAAAATCACACCTTGTCTTATATGCGAGATCGTCTCATATCCGAGTAAATATGGTATATTTATACTCAAAAATTAAAAAATACTTTGGATATATATACTTGTATATACATATATATCCAAAGTATTGTTTTAATTTTCTATGAGTAATCTTAAAAAGTAACAATAAATTATTTTGCATTTATATTTTTCATAATATAATTGTTATAATATTCATATAAAGGCTTATTCACATACAATATTTTCATGTGAAAATATTAGGTAAATGCATAAAAGAATTAAATTTAAGACTATATGATAAATAAGTAATTCAATATATGTAATTAGTTACAACTATATTAAAGTACATGAAGATAAAACATAGACATGATATAGATTCAAATGTAAATAAAATTCAGTTTTTATTAGTCTAAAACATTACATTGATTAACTAGTAATTTGCATAACTTGTCTGAATTTCACATAAATTTTTTCTGAGCTGTTCTTAAAGAGATTTCAGAATAAATTGTCCAAAAAGGAACTTTTTGAATATTTAAAATTGCTAACAAATTTCAAGAAATGTCTAATTTTTTTAATTAAAATTTTCAATCAATTAAATTTTTACTTTATCTAATTCCTTTTATTATTCTATTAAGTCTACACTTAAAGATATTTTTTTTTATAATAATGTCATTTATTTTAATGCAATTTAACACATAATATGTTTATTTCAGATTAATGTGCAGCCATCTGATTCCTCATTTGGAAGAAATGAATCATTTTAAGAATAACTTGGAAGAAATGTAAATTAAATGCTCTAAAGTTAGACCTTTTTTTTTTTAATTAAAAAGAAGTAATTTAATGGTGTTTCTTATGTTTTAATTATATAAGATCAGTTAAATAAATCATAATTTATATTCAGAAACTAAAGTTGAATACTAAGTGTCAGTGTTTAACAAATTTAATTTGATTTAAATTTTACTTTTCTGGCTGTTATATACAGAGTTCCTAAGCACCTGGAAAGTCTTACTTATTGTTCTATTGTACTGTAAGAATATATTTTAAAATCACTCAAAATCAGAACTTTAAATCACATTAAATTGTTTAATTTTTTAAAAATTTTGTTTTAATGTTCCTACAGTTAATACAAAGGTTTACTTTTACTGACAGTTGCAGGTCAATTTTAAAACAAACATTAATTGTTTATGTGAAGAATTATTATAAAATGCAACACTTTAAAAACGCTTTACGGTAAATTTGAGAGAAAAATCTGCAATACTCTTGATAATGTAACATGGATTAAATTTTTCAAAATATTTTAAGGCCTTAGTTGAGTATTTTTTCTGAACATATTGTCCCCAATCAGGGGTGGAGCTACATAGGACTAATAGGGCTGGGCCTACAAAAATTGAATTATAATAAATTTTTAATACTTTTTCATTAACAATAAGCACTTATTGTATAGTAAGGAATAGTTAATAGTATAAATTATCATCATTATTATTATATTTGTATTAACAAAAAATGGAACCCCATTGGACTTCGATAAATCCTAGGCCCTGAAAAATCTAGATCCGCTTATGTCCCAAAAAGTCCTTTCAATATTATTACACGCCATATACAAGCTGTTAGATTTCTGGATTCCATATTCAAATGACCAAAAATTTACTTTTGATATAAGCTTACCTACTAAATACAGTATATACACACATGTATTGTACTGTACCGGTATAATACAATACAATACAATACATTCCCCATGCCAGTTTATGTCATTAGGTTTTAATTTAATTACAGTAACCTGCGAATCATTAGCGAGGTTGCGGCCGAAGTTTTCATCTCTAAAACGTGAACGTCGAAAGTCGAGCGCGGCGCTCGACGTTCACGATTTAGAGATGAAAACTTCGTCCGCAACTTCGCTATTAATTCCTGAAGATAGTTTAAAATTCTAACGTTTTTGTCAACTTTAAATTCACGTCTCTGTATTAATCGGGAAATTTAAATTTTAAAACATTTTGCAATTAAATTTGAGCGAACAAATAATCTAATAACGATAAAATTTGTCTTCGAAATATTCGTAATATATAATTATTTTCAAATTCCTTACAATTACCTTATACACCCTCGATTGGCATCCCCAGGAATTTTTCGGGGGGTGGTCCATCCGGATATGTCGGGCACCGTTCCTTACCACCCAGCCTCCCCATTGTGGGCCTGGCCGCAGTGCCGGCCCGAGGCAAGTTTTAGGATGGAGCGAGATCCTATTATGGCGCCCTCTTGGTTGCCCCTAATTTATACCCTTTAATTTTCTTTACCACTGAGGCGCCCCCTAGGACTTAGCGCTTGGAGCGGCTGCTCCGTTCGCCCTATGGTAGGGCCGGCTCTGCCTGGCCGAACCCATAATGGGCTTGCTAAAAGAGGTTAACTATTTTCTATGGGTTGGTAACGCTGTGTTCTATGACATGAGTAGGAAGAAATGTCCTTTGTATCTATGATCGTTGGTAACCAGGTATGTCGTTATTTTTGAAATTGTTTTACTGTATCCTAAACAGTTCAGTGCAAAACGAGTGTGAGGCCGGGACCACACACTCCCCCTGGGACGGAAATCGGCTGTCGAGCTAAAGTCAATATATCGGTGACTTATTACGTAAATAGGACCGGTGTGACCAAGGAACGGGGTGCGAGACAATTTAATTGTCGCATTCCAGGCCTAATTGACAGATTCACGGTCGTCAATCGTGAGAACGATCGAGGGATCGACTGTCGGGGAAACTTTGGACGGTCACCTTACAGAGAGTTCAAAGCAGGTCCTGCTGACACTCCTGTGGAGGGGGCGGCGGCTGAGACAGCTTCCTCCTCTCCGGGACAGAAAAATAGACATTAGGTGACAATTTACGGGACCGTCATCCGGCAAAGGGCTTGACCCGACTCCGGAGGGGAACGGCCCGGACGGGGTCATTTCGGCGACCCCTCGGCCCGAATCGCGTCCCTGGCAACCGACCAGGGACCAATAGAATCGCAGGGGACCAACTTTCGGACCAACCAAAACCTCGGGATTTCGGGTGAGGAAAGATTATAAAAGCCCGAGGTCCCAAGGATACGGGGAGGTTGCAAGGTGATGTTCGAGAGCATCTGTCCGGGAAATACGAGGCAGCAAAGGATACCAAACTCCGAGTGCTAGAACGGATTTTTCCGAGACGGTTCTCCATCCCTCCAACGTCCAGGACAGCGTCAACGGAGACGAACCTTCTTCGGTCCATCACACCGTATCAACGGAGACGAACTTTCGAGCCCATAATCTTGGAGACAACTCTCTCTCTCTGCGCGGGATCTACCACCCCGGATTGTGTAACTCATTGTAAGCATGTTTTCACCAAATAAACGCGTTGACTTAGTAAATACGGTCTCTGTTTGAGTCTTTGCGTCCAGCAAACCGTGACCCCCATACGGAAAAGGCTTTCTCGTGTCATCCTGACATCACGGGCAAAGCGAGGGTCGTAACCTTTCACCTTAAGGGCTCCCAGCATTACACGAGTTCGCCAAAGAGAAGTAAAACTTATATTTTATGTGACGGAAAGAAAGATACGATTCTTTTTTTTATTGTAGTGAAAAATAAATGGTGTCGTTTATTTTATATCTTAATTCTATATTAGAAAGATAACCTTAAACGTTAATTACTGTGCAATACAACTATGTTTCGCAGAATAATTTCTTTAGATTATTAAGCTTTCATGAAATAAAAGTATGGAGTAAATCATCGGTGCTTTGACTCATGAGATACTGGGCCACATAAATTAGCCAGGCCTGGGTTAAGCTATCGTCAATATTACACAAATAACTGCGATCGTACTCGATGACATTGTACAAAAAATCATTTTCGATAAACCTTTTAGTGTATTGTCTGAATGCAAAACTTAATCACAATTTAATTTTACGTACATTGCATTCTCAAAGTACGTAAGAAACATGACTTACGAGTTAGAGTTAATGAAAATCGGCTTACGCAAAGAAGAGGAAGGGGATTCACTTACTTAAATGGCAGACTTTTTGTAATCGCTTTATGCATTAATCTAATTGAATCCAATCTACTATAAGGCGTGTTTTCATATAGCTAACCAAATAGTGATTGTTTGGCTGCATATTTTTGCCATGACTTTCGATTTATGTTGTTTCTCGACATGCGTTCAGAAGAAGGAATGAATCATTACGATAATTGGCTGCAGTTGCCACGTTATTTTGACGCCATTGCTTCTTTTTCCCTCTAGAAGAAGCATGTGATTGCATTATATAGTGGACATAAAAATAACCCGGCGAAGTTAGTGGGATTTTTTACTGGGGCTAAATTATGATATGATGATTAACAATTTTAATGATAAATTGATCTTAGCTAAAAGTAACATTGAAAATGATTATGAACAAGTTTTATAAGTACATAATGATCCTCATAGTTATAATACGCTAATTGCATAGATACGTAAATTTGAGATCGCAAAAAATACACGTGAGCTAGTTTTTATGCCGGATATGCAATATATACGAGAAATGTTTTATAGGAGAGAGAGCGTTAGGCAGTAACGTCAAAGTCAATGATATATGCAGTCAATTCCCATGATGATTCATTCCTACTTCTAAGCGATTTCTCGAAGAACTCATGTTTGTCCGTTAGCGAAAGGCAACAAGTTATTTAAGCAAAAATGCGATGAAATAACTTATATTTTGCATCAGATCGAACTATAGATTATTACCTGCTTTGCGGCCACAGGTTACCAGAGATCCTCTTGGAAACGAAGTTATCAAACAAAAAAAAAAAAAAATGGGTGCTTGTAAGTGACAAATGGCTTGGTAACCAAACCAATGGTACAGTTGTCCCTCTGTAGTCCGACGTTTTTTAATCCGACATGCTCAGTAGTCCGACGCACCTCCCGTCAAGGTNCAACATACGAGTGATTTTGAAATACATTAGAAAAAATATATTGATATAAAATAATTGTTTACATATTTTAATTACAGACGGAAGGCTTCGACTTGAAATTTCAATCGATAGAACAAAGAGATATCAAGAGATTTTGGGATTTGGTGGAGCTTTCACAGATGCAGCCGGCATTAATATTCTCAGTCTACCGGAACAATTACAAGATCAGATATTGCGTGGTTATTACTCCTCCGACGGTAATTATAACAATTTTAAATTCAATTTATTCAAACATTTAATTAAAGAAAACAAAAATATACAGGTTTGGATTATACTTTTGGAAGAGTACCCATAGCCAGTTGTGACTTTTCTACACACGTTTATTCTTATGACGATGTACCGGGAGATGCGAATCTCACTCATTTCAGTTTAACCGAAGAAGATTCGAAATTGAAGGTAGTTTTTCGTAAACTTGTGGAAAATTTAAGCAAATTTCTTTAAAAATTTTTGTTTCATTTAGATTCCACTAATCCACCGAGCTCAAAAAATGCAATCTAAGTCGATAAAATTGTTTGCCAGTCCTTGGAGTGCCCCAGGATGGATGAAAAGTTCGAGGAAGATGGGTGGTCCTGGAATACTTAAAGAAGAATATTATCAAACTTGGGCAGAATATTTTGTCAAGTAAATTTTAAATATATTAATAGTAGATTGCATTTAACTCTGTTTATTTAGTAAAAGTATATGCATAATGCGAAAGTTATATGTTATGCCTGTAGAAGAGGAGAAAAACAAATTGGATGAACCACTTAAAAACGTTCATCTGAAAATTAGAACGAAAAGAAAAGATAGAATTCTAGAGCACAAACAAAATTAAAAGAACACATACAAAAGTTTAAAAAAATACATTAAAAATAAAAGAAAAATTTTTTAAATTACTCAATAGCATGTTGCAAAAGATGTAAATGATAGCTTAGGAGCATTCGATATATGATTCTAATCATTATTATTAAAACATTGATGTAGAATGTCATGCTTATAAATTTACAAAATTTCTTTATGCTCAATAAGGTCTTAAATTTAAATAATGATACTTGCTCTCCCCAGTACTCAATAGGTACTGGGAGAGAGCGAGTATCATCATCGACTCTCTTTTTAAAGGAAGAGTATGATGTACTGTACAGTGGCAAGTCACTACTAAGTTGAGGTGGAGAGCATATATTTTAAATTACATAAATTAAAAATATGATTAAAAATTGCAGCCCAGCACTTACAATAAATAATTGCTCGTTTATAAATGAAATATACTTTCTTGCTGAACCAAGCAGAAGGCTATAAATTCTCATTTATTAAAATATTAGGCTAGTCTTGTTGTCATCTCTTATGGATTTCAAAGTACTAATTATTCTCATATTTTTGTGACCCATAAGTAGCCAGTGGATGAAGCCAATGAACACCTGTAATTAGTCACGGGTTTGTATCTGACTAACGAACTTGCCTAACGAACGTATCTAACATCTACACAGGGGCCAGATTCCTATAGAAAGTCCTCTCGGGATGCATCTACTCTTTGGCAGATCGTCCAAATGTTGTCTTGCTGTATTGGTGGGGTATGTTGCAGTCAAACAGGTTTCAGTTTGGTGTACTCTGCTAATAAAAGGAATGTTTTTTTTTCCCCTTGTTTTTTTAAATATATATTTGCATCCAGGAACTGTCAAAATTATCTAATAAATGAACTACCTAAATATTAAAAAATAACAGTTTTTCTAAATTATGATTTATAGAAATCTCCATTGTATCTTCGGTATGAAATTTATTCGAGTATAGAAGGGTAACAATCTCTAATCTGCGATAAATTCAGTTATTTAGATAAAGATTATCAGCGATTAACATTCTATACTTTCAGATTTTTGAAACTTGAGTGACAGTATTTGAACGTAATGCTCCGAATCACTTTATTCTCTTACATTTTATGGATCTATTTTGGTAAGTAAAAGACTTCATAATTTAATTTATTATTGATACAACATGCGACTGTAGTTATCATACATTAAGATAAATATAATCTGATTAATAAGATGATTTAATGTAAAGAAAAGTAGTGTAACTATCACATAATTTGATAATTTCTTTGTGTCTGAAGCTAATTTGATATTAGTTTATTTTAAAAAAAAATATGAAAATAATTATCAATATGTAGTGAAAAACATTAAAATAATATTTGTGGTATGAACGATAAACTAATTTTTACACGATGATAGATCTATTTGAAGGTAAACATAACGTTAAATAGATTATTTTTACTTTGCTTTCAGACTTTGGATTGGCTTGTGTTCCAAAAGATTACGGATTTGGAAGTATTGTATGCGTTTGTAATTTATCAAATTGTACGCTTCTTGGTCCCATTGAAATAGCAAAAGCAGGAACCGCAAAATTATACGAAAGTACTAAGGATGGATCGAGATTTAAAACCTCGAATTTTCAATTTTCCTCGAAACCTCCTAAAAGTTTGTAACAATAAATCAACATACGAGTGATTTTGAAATACATTAGAAAAAATATATTGATATAAAATAATTGTTTACATATTTTAATTACAGACGGAAGGCTTCGACTTGAAATTTCAATCGATAGAACAAAGAGATATCAAGAGATTTTGGGATTTGGTGGAGCTTTCACAGATGCAGTCGGCATTAATATTCTCAGTCTACCGGAACAATTACAAGATCAGATATTGCGTGGTTATTACTCCTCCGACGGTAATTATAACAATTTTAAATTCAATTTATTCAAACATTTAATTAAAGAAAACAAAAATATACAGGTTTGGATTATACTTTTGGAAGAGTACCCATAGCCAGTTGTGACTTTTCTACACACGTTTATTCTTATGACGATGTACCGGGAGATGCGAATCTCACTCATTTCAATTTAACCGAAGAAGATTCGAAATTGAAGGTAGTTTTTCGTAAACTTGTGGAAAATTTAAGCAAATTTCTTTAAAAATTTTTGTTTCATTTAGATTCCACTAATCCACCGAGCTCAAAAAATGCAATCTAAGTCGATAAAATTGTTTGCCAGTCCGTGGAGTGCCCCAGGATGGATGAAAAGTTCGAGGAAGATGGGTGGTCCTGGAATACTTAAAGAAGAATATTATCAAACTTGGGCAGAATATTTTGTCAAGTAAATTTTAAATATATTAATAGTAGATTGCATTTAACTCTGTTTATTTAGTAAAAGTATATGCATAATGCGAAAGTTATATGTTATGCCTGTAGAAGAGGAGAAAAACAAATTGGATGAACCACTTAAAAACGTTCATCTGAAAATTAGAACGAAAAGAAAAGATAGAATTCTAGAGCACAAACAAAATTAAAAGAACACATACAAAAGTTTAAAAAAATACATTAAAAATAAAAGAAAAATTTTTTAAATTACTCAATAGCATGTTGCAAAAGATGTAAATGATAGCTTAGGAGCATTCGATATATGATTCTAATCATTATTATTAAAACATTGATGTAGAATGTCATGCTTATAAATTTACAAAATTTCTTTATGCTCAATAAGGTCTTAAATTTAAATAATGATACTTGCTCTCCCCAGTACTCAATAGGTACTGGGAGAGAGCGAGTATCATCATCGACTCTCTTTTTAAAGGAAGAGTATGATGTACTGTACAGTGGCAAGTCACTACTAAGTTGAGGTGGAGAGCATATATTTTAAATTACATAAATTAAAAATATGATTAAAAATTGCAGCCCAGCACTTACAATAAATAATTGCTCGTTTATAAATGAAATATACTTTCTTGCTGAACCAAGCAGAAGGCTATAAATTCTCATTTATTAAAATATTAGGCTAGTCTTGTTGTCATCTCTTATGGATTTCAAAGTACTAATTATTCTCATATTTTTGTGACCCATAAGTAGCCAGTGGATGAAGCCAATGAACACCTGTAATTAGTCACGGGTTTGTATCTGACTAACGAACTTGCCTAACGAACGTATCTAACATCTACACAGGGGCCAGATTCCTATAGAAAGTCCTCTCGGGATGCATCTACTCTTTGGCAGATCGTCCAAATGTTGTCTTGCTGTATTGGTGGGGTATAGATACACAGACGACGGCTTTTATATCATTAGTTATTTTCTGTGTAAAACTTTACTGTTTTTAAAATGTGGTTTGGTTTGGTTGGTGGGACCGAACCAAACCACATTTTTGTGCATTATTTTTGNAATTTTTTATATAATTTATACCAAAAATTGTTAATAATACTTTTTGTTAATATTAGTTTAATTAATATAGTTAGTAGTACTTTGATATAATTTACAAAAAATAAATATTTCTAAATGAAATAAGTGGAGGTTTTTTTTAATCAAATTTAAAATTCTGTACTAAACACGATATGCACACGCAACTCAGAGTGCCGATTGGCTAGCATATGTCGGATGATCACGCCTCAACTTATTATTATCACTTTGCCCGACTAGGTGATAGCAGTATTCATAATGACCGGTCAATTTGATAAATGAATCAATATTTATCACACCGCGTACCATATTTGGTGATTATTCATAATGCCCGATTAATCACTTTGTCCATAACATATATATACTGAAGAAGTAAAATGGCAAGGCTGTATTTGGGACAAGACTATGTCTCGGAGACTCGCTACTAAGTGGGATCACTTTGACGCTCAAGGCAGGTCTCCTTCTCATTCTCCAATCTTCTTTATCACTGGTTTTGAGTGCAATCTTTCAAACTTCACTGTCCACGATGCATTTTCAGTGAAATTAGTCTATCCAATATCGAAATTTCTCAACATTGCGTGTTTCCCCGGTTGAATTTTTGTCGATGCCTAACGAAAACTTCCCGTTTTTGAAAAAAAAAATCTTGGCTATTGTATTGTCTGAAATTATTTTTTGATATTGCACAAACTATATATATATATATAAATACAGTAGATCCCCCTATAAGACGGTAGATACGTTCCGTTCTTTATGAATCCAATTTTGTAGGAATCACAGCCAATCACAGCCCGACACATGTGAAGTTTACCGACTACGGCTGTTTGAAAGGTTTTCTTCCATAAAATTAATCGATTCTAGACTAATCTGACTCAACATTTCCAAAATATGTATATTTTTTTTTTTGGAAATAATCCGTATAAACTACGCTATAAACAAAAAATTGTAGGATTTTTTGTTTATAGCGTAGTAAGAAATAATCCTCTTATAGTAATCTACCTTGTTTGTACTGATTAGAGACTGTCCAAAATTCATTTTCAATATTAATAAAGCATATATTTTTTAACTTGATCTCTGACTCCATTTCATCACTCAACCTGCAAGATGTGATAAGCCTGTATAATTAGCCAGAACTGGACTACATCATGAAACAAAAAATTAAGTTTGGAATGTTTTTCTCTGATAATTCCTAAAAAATTTTTTAAACAGTTTAAAAAAAATGCTGATTATTTCTCTATTCTGTAAAACTTATCAACTTCCTTCAACTGAAATAGAAAGAAATAGAGATCTCTAATCTTGTATTTCTTTTTTATTCTGTATTAATTGTTCTTCAAATATTAATACACATTTTACACAGTAAATCCATCTAATATAGATACTATTCAAAATGGAAACCTGTCTAAATGGCAAATTTTAACATTATGGAAGTAATCATTTTTTTATTTAAGTTGACAACCTGTATAATAAGGCTATATTAATAGTTTCCTCTGTCTATTCCAAATGTATGTATTTCCCAAAAAACTGTTTTCAAGTTTTAGAACAGGGATGGGCAACCTGTGGCCCTTAGGCCGCATGCGGCTCGCATTAATATTTTTGTGGCCCGCGTTGCATCAAATATATATAAATATATCAATTTCCCAGCATAAGGAAATATGCAGCAAAAATTCAAATGTTATTTTCTACAACTTATGTATGTGAATAGTTTTTCCCACAATGAATTTAGTAAAAATTAAAACAAGAAACCAGCTAACAGATTCACATCGAAACTAATATTTAACCAAATGTTTCTGATATATTACGTTTACATCATTTCCAGAAGCTAAATTAAGTATACCTATTCTAATTTATAATTAAATATGAATAAATAATTTTGATGNGTTTTATGTTCTGACGGAAAGTATAGACTACTTATTTTGCGGAAATAATTAGCTATTACAATTTTGTTCTAATTTGAATTATTTTACTCAAACAGATTTTTGAAATCTTATGAAAAAAATAATATAAGTTTTTGGGGATTGACGATTGAAAATGAACCCTCAGCAGGTTTTATTCCTTTTTACTCTTTTCAATCAATGGGTTTTACTCCAGCCACCGAGAGGAATTTTCTCAAAAATTATTTAGTCCCAACTCTCCGTGCCAATCAACTAGGTCCAGAAAAAATAAAGCTTATCATCATGGATGATCAAAGACTTTTTCTCCCGTTTTGGCCTCTATGGGTAATAATAAATTTATGACTATGTATAAGTGTAATAAAACTCAAATTAATGTGAAAATTATTTTGATTTCAGGGACTGGATGACAAAGAAGCAAGAAGCTTTGTATCTGGAATTGGATTTCATTGGTATTGGAATGCCATTTCTCCTGTAAAATCTTTAGATCTAACTCACGATGCTTTTCCAGACAAATTTCTATTAGCTACCGAAGCTTGTTCGGGTTCTGGAATTTTTGAAAAACCAAGCGTTCAATTAGGAAGTTGGAAAAGAGCAGAAGACTATGCTCACGATATCATAGAGGTAAACATTTTTCATTAGCCTTGTATGAATAAACATATATTCAATAATATGCTATCTTCTTAGGACTTATTGCATTGGACAACAGGTTGGATTGATTGGAATTTAGCTTTAAATACTAACGGAGGTCCCAACTGGGTAAAAAATTTCGTAGACTCACCTATTATCGTTAATGCCACTTCAGTAGAATTCTATCAGCAGCCTGTATATTTTGCACTAGCTCACTTTAGGTATATGAATGCTCATTTATTTATATTTAAGAAAAATATCAATAAATTACTAATTAACATGAAATTTAATAGTAAGTTCTTGCCTCCTGGATCCGTTCGGATTGACTCAAGCATGAAAGGAATACTTGATTGGTTTATTGAAGTGGCAGCATTCGAACGACCAGATAAAGCCATAGTATTGATTCTCATTAATAGGTTTGTAAAACAATTTCATGTTGTTAGTTCGATTGTATTTTTATTATTATTTATAAAATACTTACTTATTATTTTTATAACTTTAATAATAATTCTTGTTCGTTTTTATACTACAATTTTAAGAAATTTAAATGATTTTCAGACGTTTCTTCAAAATCGAGTACGTGTTCAGAGACGATAAATGGGGTTATGTTTCAAACAGTATACCTGCTCACGCCATCCAGACTTATATTTGGAGATCTTAATGAAAATGTTTGATAAATAAAATTACTAATGAATGAATTAATACAGTGGAAACATCTTAAGTAAAGCTTTTTTACATAAAAAGAGGAAAATATTTTTATTATCATAGGTTTTTTTTAAAAAATTAGATGATTTGTCAGCAACAAAATGTATTAATTACATAAAAAGTTATTACACCAATAAATTAAATTAAATTTGTTATTTAAGATTCTTACTAAATAAATCTTTTTAAAACTAAATCACTGAATAGATTTATTGAACCAATAAATTGATGTGCACTGAGTTAAATAACNCCTAGTGATAAGTAGATTCGGAGACAGGTAAATTCGACTTACGTCGTTTTTCGACTTACGTCGTTTTCCTGGAACCAATTACCGACGTAAGGCGAGGTATACCTGTAACTGCAAATTTCAAATTCTGTTATATAAAGTGCAATAGAGGCTAATAGTATTCATTTTTAAGTATATTTTATTATTCAAGTTTACAAATGTTATAACTTGCTGGATATGTGTGGTTTATAGAATATATATTGGGTTGTTCAGAAAGTAATTTCGTTTTTTTTTTTTTTTACCACTAGAGGAATTAGTTGTATTTTTACCTGCCATTTTCATTCTAAACCGTATTGTCATTATATATTTTGACAGCTAACATTTTAAGGCTTATTTGTAAAAAATTTTGTTTGATTTTGTGCTATATTTTTTTGTATCACATCAAATATGGAAGAGTGAAAGCATTTTTGGCACATTTTGCTCTTTTATTGCTGAAAAAGGTAAGAACACTGTTCAAGCAAAAAAAAATTGTGTGACGTGTATGGAAAAGATGTGTTGACAGAACGACAGTGCCAAAACTGGTTTGCAAAATTTCGTTCTGACAGTTTTAATATTGAAGATGCACCACATTCTGGAAGGCCAGTTGAAGCTGATGAAGACAAAATAAAGGCATTGATTGAAGCAAACCTTCAAATAATAACACAAGAAATCGCTGGGATTAAATTTGTCAAATTCAACTGTTTATGATCACTTGAAACAACTTGGTTTTGTTTCAAAGCTCGATATATGGGTTCCACATGTTCTTAAAGAAAAAGATTTGCTCCAACGCATTAACATCTGTAATTTGCTTCTCAAATGCAAAGAAAATTATCCATTTTTGAAGTGAATCATAACTGGTGACAAGAAATGGATTGTATACAACAATGTCAAATGCAGGTGATCATGGAGTAGAAGAGATGAGCTAGCTCAAAGCACTTCAAAAGCCAATATTCATGAAAAAAAAGTGATGCTCTTTGTTTGGTGGGATTTTAAGGGAAATTTTTTTTTGAGCTTCTACCAGACAATTCCACAATTGATTTGAAAGTGTACTGCCATCAACTGGACAAATTGAATATCATCATCAAACAGAAAAGGCCAGAATTGATCAACAGAAAAGATGTAGTGTTTCACCAAGATAATACTAGACCTCACACAAGTTTGGTAACTCGTCAGAAACTGTTACAGCTTGAATAATAATAATAATAAAGGAGGAGGAAGGGCTGTCTGCTTTTGCAAACTTAGCCCACTACGAAGAGAAAGGAGTGAAGAAAGGGTTGAAGGAAGGGNACCCTACCTAATTAACCCTTTCAAACGGAAAAAAACATGACTAATAAAAATGCAAGACTGTGTACGTATGTATTTTTATTATTACATATAAATAAACATAGTAAGAAAGTATATATTTTTTATTTTTAGGGGTCACCAGAACGAATTAATTAAATTCCCATTAAAACCTATGGTAAATCGATAATCGGTTAACGAACAATTCGGATAGCGAACAAAGTCTTGGAACGGATTATGTTCGTTAACCGATCACCCACTGTATTTAAAAATTCAAAATTGTAAATGCATAATTAAATTTTATTTTTTGATATTCTATTTGTATAACTGTTAAATAATTGAACAAATGAACTGAAAAAAATTCAAGTTTTAAGAACTGAAGATGAATTATTATACAGTGGTGCCTAGTATAACGTACGCCTCGAATAACGGACGCTGCAAACAACGGACTTTCTGTTTGGTCGTTACATGACTCGAGCAACGGACTGGCTTCGAACAACGGACTTTCTGCGAACAAGTGCGAATGATGTTTCCACTCGTTTGCCATTGCCAATGACAATCTGCTATTTTTATAATAGTACTAGCTTACCCGTCGCGCATTACTGCGATCTCAGAAGAAAGGAAATTCAAGCAAACTCATTATGATAAAATTAAATTTACATTTTATCATTTTCATTGAAACTTATTATTATTATTCATTTTCATCGGGAAAACATTTCAAAGTGTTGTTTCAATTTTATTTATTTATTGGAGTGCTTTGTGGATACACGATATTTTTTGTTCTTCCGTCTGGTGCGTACACGAATAAATCAGAAGGTTTTCCGACACGTGAGTTGGCCACATACAGTTGTCCAAGCGAGAAGCACGGATTCTTTAAATTTAACCCACATACTCGCAGAGATTGTTAGAAGTGCGATATTCCCCAATTTTATATATTTTTTTTAATCCTTCATAATTTTGATTATTTAATTGCTCCTTCCTCTCTTCCTTGGCGTGTTGTGAAATTTCTTATAGTTGGATAATAAACCATTTTATTGTAATTTGTCTTTTTAAATTATTTTGAGTTGATATTAAAATTTGGAAAAGGGGGATCCCTGGATCGGTAAAATAAGCGAATTTCCTTCTACAACTTCGGTTGTTGTTCATGATACAGTTAAGGCTTTAACGTTAAAGTTCGAGCGATTACGTAATTAGCAAAAAAAAAGTTGAAATAAAGTGATTAAACAAAAATTATAACAAATATCGTAAATAATAAATGCATATATAGAGATATTTTTTGGAGGGGAAATGGTCTGCTACCAACAAATTTAAATGATTGCTTGTAAGATATGATTTAACAACCTGAGCAGTTTGTGCATTTGATTTGCTGGATTTTGAACTTCGTTTTGATGCTATGTTGGTTATTGCAGAAAGCTCACATCCTACATATTTCCATGTTGGTTAATAAACGCTCACATCCTACATATTTCCTCGAAACAGCACTGGCAAAACATATCTNTATAAACTAGCCTTGAACACTGCAATGTCACAATAACATTAAGAACAGATTACAATTTTAACACTTAGAGAGAATGTAAATATCAGCTTACTATGATATGGGATGTGCTACCACACCCACCATATTTGCCAGATTTGGCATCCTCAGATTATTACTTATTTCAGTCTTTACAATATTTTTTAAGTGGTAAAACATTTACTTCAAATGAGGATGTCAAAAATCACTTGGATCAGTTTTTTGTAAGCAAAGATCAGAAATTTTATGAGCCTGAAATCATGCTACTACCAGAAAGATGGCAAAAGGTATTGTGCCAAAATGATCAATATATAGTTGAATAAAATATTTATATATTATAAGAAAGTTGTTTTTTCCACCAAAGAAAAAACAAAATTACTTTCCAAACAACCCAATTTATATGTAGAGAGAGCATTGATGATGATCGTCAAAAGATGGTTTGTGAAATTTCAAAATGTTAATCCTTTAAAGGTGAACCAAACTTTGAAGGCCATCTGAAAGAGTTATGGTTATTTTGAAGTAAGTTCCTGAAATTGTGGAAGAAATTTCAAAATTACAGTAGAGCGTCGTTTATCCGAATCAATTGGGAACTGGGGTTGTTTGGATAACTTATTTTTTGGATAACCAATTATGTACGAAAAAATATATTAACCTATCCCATGTTGAAATTTTTCTCCGTTGCATGTTGCTTTACGTTGAATTTTCGTCGATGTTAAGCCTAACGAAGACTATTGTATCGTTAAAAATTATTTCTTTATTTTGTACAAACAAAATAAATATATTGAAAANAATAAATTAAATTAAATTTGTTATTTAAGATTCTTACTAAATAAATATTTTTAAAACTAAATCACTGAATAGATTTATTGAACCAATAAATTGATGTGCACTGAGTTAAATAACTTTTATAAATAAATATAATGTGTTTTCGCTTAACTATTTGAATAGTACTAGGTGAAGACCAATGAAATTGAAATAATCTTGGATAGTATTCTCTAGATTTACATTCATAACATGGCGAGACGAAAACCTAGACTTTGTTTACGTATATAGACTCGTATTCTGATTATGCAATCCCTCCTTCATCATTTGCTAAGGATTTGTTTTCCCTTAAAGCCCTTTTATGCGCTTATTCTGTCTTCTCGAGGATCCATTGTCTCTAAGTTTCTTGTCTTTGGTTATCTTTCCGAAGAAGTTAGGTTCTCATATCTTCACCTCTTGGTACAGTACAATATACATCATCAATCAAGTATCTGAACTGTAAATTCTAAAGTATATTTACTGGACAATATATTACACGCTACATAAAAAATATTTTCAAGACATATTATATAGTAAGTTATATAGACATTAAACAATTAATATGTTGGGAGAGATCTTAGTCTATTCAGCCTGTCTCGTGTTTTTTCTTCTTTTTGTCTTCCATTCCTTATTTGAATATTCTGATCGACCAAACAATTAGGAACTCCATCAACTGACAGGGCAGTCTTTTTGTTTATGTTAGGCGAATACTAAAGTCAAAGGTATAATAATGATAGACTGAGATATAAAAGTACAGTACCTTATGCTATCCTATGACAGACATACGTACAGATGTTGCAACTGCCTGCCGCTCCATATTCTTTCGAGTCTTGGTTTTTCATTTTTCTGATCTGGTCTACTAAACGTCCATTTGAAAAGGGGGCACTGGCTTATTGAGTTACTGACCGTCTCTGTTTTATTTCTGATTTCTCTGATTACAGTAGATAGACAAACATCTGTTCTGTTGTGTTGAAGTTCCTTAAAAATCTCATGATATGATAATCCTTGTGCGGAAAGTGCTTTGTATGCACGTGTGTCCATGTCACTCGATATTTCTGTGGCCGTTTTCGAATGCAAAGATATGAAACTCTGCCACAGAACGCTACGTGCTCAATCTGTAAATTTAATCCATGTGCAACTTATACATGGATTTAATTTCATTATGATATGAGTCATAATTAGTGAGACATTCTCTGTATAAACTTAGAAAATAAAGAATTTGTAGTAAACGAATAAAGTCAAATCTTAAATTTAATTAAAATAGAAAATATATCACATATTTCATACAAGTAATAGTACGTATAAAATGTGTTTTTTTCATAAAAGTTTTAAGTTCAGTGGTGTATTGGGATAGAAACGGACCGGAACGATGTTCCGACACTTATTTTTTAGGAACCGTCCTAGACTGTTTAACCTTATTGTGACACTAAGCTATAACACATTATGTAAAAATGTGAGGCCCTAAACTAGGACGTGTGTCCTAGCAAAGCGGATTTAATATAACTGGATAAGCAAACCAATGATTTACCCGTTATTACTTGAAACGGACTGTCATCGGTTTGCTTAGCCAAATGTATTAAAGTGCTGTTACACTCACCTTATGTGGCTCTGTGTATTCTCTCGAAAAATATGTAGTAAATTTATAGTTTATTAAAAATGCATTGAAATTTATAAGAAAACTCACGAAAACTTTTCAATGTAACAATAATTTTTCAACACGAAACTATTAAAAATAATAAACAGGAAGTCAATTTGATAAAATTAGTAGCGAGGTTACGGCCAAAGTTTTTGTGAAAGTCGCGCTCGACGTTCACGTTTTCGCGTTAAAAGAGAGGTTGGGGCCAAAGTTTTCACCACGAAAACGTGTACGTCGGACGTTCAGCGCCGCCTTTAAGTAAGTCTAGAAGTTTGACAATGGTGTTTGGAACGTCGAGCACGACTCCACTGACGTTCCAAACGTCATTATCAAACTTCTAGATTTACAGGAAAGCGGAGCTAAACGTCCGACGTACACGTTTACGCGTTGAAAACTTCGGCCGCAATCTCGCTAATCCATTACGTTCGGATTTATAATAAATGAGTAAATACATTAAAATAAGTTATTTAATTTTAATATTACTTAATGTGTATTAATACAGATTAATCAATAAAATAATTAGCTTTTAAAAATGATATTTGTCATTTTTAAAATTTTAAATGTAATCAGATAGTAAAATAACAACAGATGGTGCTGCTCTCCGACCAAACGATTGTATGAAATTCATCAATCCGAAGTAGTATTATTTAAAACATCAAAAAATGGAAGAAAGTAGAGAACAAATTTTGGCAGATTTTCAAGTAAGATTCAAACTAAATTCTAGAATATTTCAAAATGTATAGTTTAAGTCGTTATAAAACTGTAAATGTAGAATTTTCTCTTATCAAAGTAGGCTTAAGTGTAGAAATGCAGTCTCATTCAGTGGGTGAATATATATATTTTTTTCTCAAGAAAATAAACANTAAATACAAAATTTTAAATTTTCTATATAATTTTATGGTAGTTGGAAATTTTACTTAAAAGTAATTTATTTTCCTGAATCCAATATTATCTCAAGTATTTTGATAATTAAAAATTGAGTATTGAAATCTAAATTCAGCACTAACAATAAAATTTGTGATTAAATGTAAGCATTATGCTATTTTTTAGAAATATTAAATGGAAATTTAACCAAAGATGATGGTTCATCACTGTTATAATGAATTTTAATTATAGTAAATTGCAAAAATGAAAAAAATACAATTTTAAGAGTTTACTAATGTTAATTTACTTTTTCAGTCTTGTACAGGATTAGACGATTTAGCTGAATGCATCATGCACTTAGAAGCAGCCAATTGGAACTTACTAGTATGTTGTTATATTTTTATTTAATTCTTATTAAATAAATTATTTTAAATATTAAATTAATGTATATCAAAAACAGTAAAAATATTGTTTTTTGGCAAATCAAATTATGATTTATATACTTGTACAACAGTGGTATATTTAGCACGGAAAAATTTTCCAGTTTTAAAATAATGCTTAATCTGTTTTTTGTTATTATTTGACTATAAACTAGATGAATAAAATGATATACTGATTAGTGCTTGTATATTTTTCTAATAAATTGAGCAATAACTTAAACAGTAACTTTACTAGATTATTTATTACATTTATGAATGGAAATGTAATTTTAATTGGATTTGTTTTTAATTTTTATGTATTCTTTAATATTTTCTTTATTCTTCATGTATTATAATATATAATACATCAAAGATTCATTATTAATTACTGTAAACAATAAATAATTAAAACTATTTTGAATAACAGTCCATATTTGTAACATCAGAATTGCAGCTTCTTTTTTATCTATTTCAGGAAGCAGCAAAAATACATCTACTGTCTGTCTTATTTTCAGCTCTGTTCTTGAATTCTCTTAGAAAACTTCGGCATAAAAAAAGATAATGTTTAGAACACTCATTGTCTGGCTATTGTTTCCTTTTAGGGTCTATTAGGATCAGATATTCTAATTGACTTTTCATTCAAAAATGTTACAGCATGTTTTGGCTAACAGAAGAGAACATTAACTTGATGTGGGTGTATATTTACATATGTATAAAGCAAGCTAATTAGTTAAATGAATGTAAGCAATAATGACTGTTTTCAACAAATTGTGAATATTTGGACTTATAAATTATGCATTTTACCATTTTTTAATAAAAATTACCTTCCATACACAAAAGATAAAATAGTGTATGACAAAACTAAGTAGGCAATACTTTATATAATAAAAAGATTAAAATGGGAGTGTTTAATATATAAATGACAATGCATAACTCGATTTTAATTGGTTAAGCCAAACCAAGCCTTATAATTATTCAAATTTAATAAGAGATGGTGGCTTAACCAACTACTTCTAGTCGAATTCATTAATTATTAATGTAGCCCAAAATTAGCCCAACAATTTCAGTATGATTGTTTGGCTTAATTTAAATGCAAGAGAGTAATAAAATTAATGAATACAAGAAAATTTAATAAATTAATCAAAAGTATTTGAAACTTATCAAGTATTTTATAGTTCTATACTTCACAAATCATCAATGTTCTTCCTCCAGCTGCTAATGCTTAACTTTTTTTATTTTCTCATCCTGTGCTTTCTGCACTCATATTCTGTGGCAGTCATATTGGATTTCTTGTCATAATGAAGTTTGATGTCTCAAACAGACTTGTTTTATCATCATCATCACTAAAAAAGTACTTATCACTATTTAATAGGATAAAATATTCATGAAGTAGGAAAGAAGTTAAAAAAAAAAGTGAGAAAATAAATGAGGTTGCCCACCAGAATGTACTTTGGAAGTACAGTACAGTAGGACCCTTCCATGAGCAACCAATATGTTCAAAGACCCCTTGCATAAATTGAAATTTCCACAAAATAGCAAGCCCCATTAATTGGGCTGCTATTTGAAAAAATTGTAGACCTATAAATTTTTACTACTGTATTGTTCGTCTATATGTCTGTCCTTAAACTTGAGAACAGTATTAGATAGATGAAAGTCAAGACTAGATATGGAAAGCTTATGGGCAGGAGGCCCCCAACTAACTTAATATAAATGTCTGGTGTGTAGACCAGAAGTCATGTGATTCCAATTAAAAAATTTTACATGCAGAAAGGAATTACATAGTTGATCGGCATGACTCTGTTGTTGTCAGGAAAGTATGATGTACAGGGGCAAGACACTAATAATTTGAAATCTAGATCATATATTTTAAATTAAAAATACAGTTAAAAATTGCAGCCTGACATTTTGATGTCATAATAATTTCTGCTTGTTATTAAGTATTTTCTATACTAATTTACCTATTGCACACTTTTTTTATGTAAATAAGGCAAATTAAACTATTTTAACAATAAATAACATGATACTGTAAATTATAAAAACAACTTTAAAAAATTTTCAGAATCAGACCCTTTTCTTTGTCACTACATCTAAAATTTTAATGTTTTTTCCTCTAAAGTAGACACTTTACAGTTTTTTCCCCTTTCTTTCTTATTAGCGCTACCATCATTGCTATCCTTGTGTTTTAGAGCCATGTTTGCAAAGTAATTAGCATAAGTGAAACTAAGAGAGGCACTGATATTGCAGAATTTTGTTACAAGTGAGAATGCTGGACAAAGACTGATGCAAGTTCCTTAGTGTTTTATGCAAAACAAAGAAATTAGTCTTAATAACACTTTCCCAGTACAAGAATGAACATGACTGGCAAGGAGTACTATACTTATGTCCCCCACCAATTTTGATGAATTTTGGCACAAAAATAGTTTTTAATATGATAATGCAATCCACAAACCATTTCATTATAAGGGACATAAGGAGTGAGCTATCAAGGTTTAAAAATTAAGGTATCCATTCACATAGTCTGCTGCCTTTGGCTAGTTTGTGTATGCTCCACCTATCACAGACAATTTTTTTGGTGTTTAACCATGTTATGATTGTAAATTTTTTTTATTTTAAGTGATAAGTGTTTATAAATAAACACATCTGATACATTTTCCTGCTCCAGAATTTAAGAGCAATGTTTTTGGATTTGGAAAATAAGGAAATTGGACATGAGAGCATTTTTGGAAAATAGAGGTTTGTTGTTTATAATTGGGAAACAAAGAAAAAAAAGCAGACAATTAGAGGAAAAGTTTGTTATTAAAGTTAAGTCAGTATGGAATCTCAAGTCAAGTCTGTTCATATTGATAACTTAAATTTAAAGGCTAGGGATACATGGTTGCATTGTTTTAAGAGTTACCATAGCATTGGAGTTGAAAAATAACATGGCTAGTTAGCAAAACAGCACTGCATTCAGCAGAGAATATTATGCTGGAAGCAAAGACTTTTTATCATCAAAGTCCTCTGATATGGATTTTGGCTGTGTATTCAATACCAACTGCTGTGATTTCCAATATGAAACACTGCCTATAAGGGCTTACACCTTCAAAGCTCAAAAATCAATCTTTGGGAATGCTGTCTCAAAAAATCTAGCAACATAGCTACATTGTGCAGTATGTTTAATAGAGCTGGTAATATTGTAGGCTACATTTTTCTATATTTACAAGAATGTGAGGAGTGCTTCAGGTCAAAAGTGCAAGTGGAGATTGATTGGTACTAGTGCCTTCTAACTTCACTGTCACTTATAGTAAATTAGGCAAAATGAGTAAGTCTCTAAATGAATTCTTTTTGGAAAGACAAATAGTCCCAAATGTAAAGAAAAGTTTCCTCTCTGTGATAGATTCGTGGGGCAGACACACAAGTATGGATTGATATACAAAATTCTTCAGTCAAGCTGCCAATACATCAAAAATTACTTTTAAAATATTACTAGAAAACTGTGTTTTTCTGGTGAATCCTCTTGACATCACCTTTTGTTGGCATTTGCCAGAGAAATTCTTACAGGCCTAGTGGTATTCTTCAATGCAAAAGGATACACAGCAATGATAGTTGGAATACATGCAGTAGTGTTATCAAGTTGCAACTCTTGCACTTTCAATTATCTGCTGACTTTTCAAATTTATGATTCATTAATGATGGTATTCTGGACTTCTGACTGTAGAGAGAAATTCCTTAGCATCAATGAAGCATGCTTCATATTTACAGAGTTACAATATTGTCTGTATGCTGTAGATTATGATCAAAATAGATTTATAAAATGTGCCCACTGTTGGAAGTGTTTATCTGTGCACCATTTATGGATTGAAAGCCATTATTATTTTTGCACAGCTTCTCCCTTTTCTGAGTAAAGAATATTAATATTAATTGCCAAAAGTAATTACTATTGAGAGTCTTTTAGATGCTACTGCCCTGATTGGAATAATAAATAAAATAAGCTCATTGTATGAAATGACTTTTTGATTTACTGGTTAGACTTCATTTCTGAAGTTTATTTAAAATATTATTAATATAATATAATAAAACTGTTTATAAGTTTAATTAAATCATTGATATGTTTTTAAGGATATTGATGTAATTATTAATAAAACATGACTAATGCAAAAATTATTTGTGATACTTAAAAATTTAATGATGGTTGATATTAAACTATTCTCCAAATAACAATTGTGTTGATATTTTAATGAATGATAGAATATTGCAATGTGGATAACAAGCATGCCATCAACTCTCTCTTGCTGTTCCTTTCTTTTCAGACAGATCAGCACATGCATGTCCAAACTAATGTATTACTTGTCTGTTAGGAGAATCAGTTCCACATTCGATTAATTAGCCATAACTTGCTCATTATGGCCCATAGAATGAAACAGTTTGGATGACTGCAATATCATATCAAACACTACCTTCATAGCAAAATTCATCAAAATCATTGGGAGGACATAGGTGTAATACTCTTTGTGAGTGAGATGCTGCAAGACTTCATGTGCTTTAAAAAAAATGGTGTGGATTACTGCCCAATTAATAATTTTTATTTTATATACAGTAGAGCATTGATTATCCGGCCCCCGAGTAACTCTCACCTCGGTTAACTCGAACGCGTTCTAGTCGGCAAATTCAAATATCCGCTAGTGATGTGGCGCTACAATATTTGGCTAAGTCTTGGCTACTTTAATATTATTTTTACGTGTTTTAGCTGGCAACACTGGATCGACCATGAAAGGAAGCCAGTATTTAAACGAGGCTTAATTTTCTAATTTTTAACGATACNAAATAATAATAATAATAACATGAATAATTTTATAATATATTTAACATTTTACAATTTACTACTACAATTTCCAAATTAGCAAACTTAATTTGAATTGAACAAAATACAGTAGAATCTTGTTTTAACAGATTGTGGAATAATGGACCCTTTTTTTTTTTTTCCTA